TTCAATAAAAAAATCGCTAATAAAAAATCCCTATATTTGACTAAGAAAAAATATCGTAGTATGCCCTGAAACTTTAATAAACATTTCAAATTTTGTCCCAAGGTAGACCTTTTAGTACTTGACATTTCAAAAAAAAAATTATTAAAATCGGTTTACAACTTCAAATTTTAGGGGGGTGTTTCCATTAAAAATGGGTCACACTGTATGTGGATTTTCGAAAAAAGCGTTCAAACTGCAGCATGCTCATCGAAATGAAGTTTGAAAATTCCGATCAATTCTGGAGATATTCGAAAGAAAAAAAACGAAAATTGTCAATTTAATTTAAGTTTTTCATTTCATAAAAACTCTCATTGCCGATCATAACAATCTGTGCAAGATGACGTTTACAGACTTTCAATCCGACGTTTCATCTCCAAGAAACCATAACTAATTTTATTTTTTTTATTTGGAATCGAAAAAAAAAGTCACTCGTTAAAAGGTAGTCTTTTTGGCATTTCGCATTTCGCACATAATCAAAATTTTCTAAATTTTAAAACGTCATTGGAGCTGTTCAAGTATATTTATTACAATTATTTACCCCCCCATCCTTCTTGTCAGCAAAAGTAAGCAAAGCGCTTATTCCCCCTCTCATGCTTACGTAAACATTGTTCTATGCATTTTTCATTTTTCAAACATAGACAATGTGTGGGTTGCCATATGTGTGAAAAAGTAAATAACTACTGCTGACGCAATCACCATTTACACCCCCGCCTCTCATATCATCAAAAATAAGCAAAGTAAAGATCCCTCACCCCTCCCCCTATTGTGCTTACGTAATACTTGAACGGAAATGGTCAACTTTTTCCTGATTTAACCGATTTTATACCCTTGGATAGTGCTCGAAAAGATTAATATTCGTTTTTCAAGACATATTATAGTTTTTCATTCACATATTGAGAAACAAACTCATTTCCTAAAAAATGTTTTTCAACATTTTTGCAAAATTAGAAAGGTATTATTTAAATTGAAAGGGATATAATTTTAAGCGCGATTCATTTTCACGAAAGAAAGTTTTTGGCTTCCTATTTCTTCATCTTTATACAAAAAAATAAGGGAATCTTTCAAAGAAAGGAAGAAACCAAATAATTTCAATATAAACTGTACCTATGCAAAGATGTGTAGATCATTCAAAGAAGTAACTTACAGAGACAAACTGTAAAGCAAAATACTTTCGAGACAACTACGTTTATATGAACTTTCAATTATATAGGTTGTTTCGAAAATTTTGTCTTGAGCTTGTGATGCACGATTTGGAATCTTTGGTGTAGATAGTAATGAATATTACTGGAGTTTTTTCCCAACACCAAACCATTATTTTTAACACCTCGACACGTGTTTTGACCACCAAGTGATCATCTTCAAGAGGACTATCAAACTGGAAACTTTCCTAAGCTAACGCTATTTATGCTATTCAGGTATACCATACAGGTATACCACACATAATCAATTTTACAATTTGCCTTATCTATTATTTTACAATATGTCCTTATATAATGTTTAAATGTTATAGCTAGGTATATATAAAACAATTTTCAGCTATATAACAGTATATTATGCAACGATTATGTAATGATGGTTATTAAGACACGAGCATTAACCGGGATACGAAACGAGCCGAAAGCGAGTTTTGTATGGTATATGCGAGTGTATTAATAACCATTACATGAGAGTTGCATACGCTATTTTTTCTAAACCCGATAAATAATGAAAAACTATAAATATTATATTTGTATTGAACACATTTACAGTAATTAACTCATATTTTTTTAAAAAAACACAAACTTAATGGTATTATCATGGATATATGAAAACTATAAAGATTCTAATTATATTTATATTGAATATAACAACTGTAATTAATCTGATCTTTTAAAAATATTGGAGTCGATGGTATTCCTTCTATATCGCTGTTTTCAGACATTTTGATAATATAGGTAGGTAATATGAAAACTGATTTTGACAAATAAAGCAATTAGTTACTTAGGTTAGAATCTAGGACAAACAAAGGAACAGGATTCTTGATTGAAAAATTATGGGTTTCTATTGGTTGATAATCTGTATCGTTATGAAAAATCTGTATCATAATGGATATCATTATGAAACGGATTATGGTCATATAAGTGTATTGTTAGAGTACGGGTGTAGAAAAAAATTATTTTTACAATATTGTCTATCTAAATTTATTTTTACAATGTGTCCTTATATAGTAATCAGTAAATCCAATAATATTATTTTAACAAGCTATATAGTATGCTATTTGGTATTGGTCTGTCCATAATATTTTGCATCGCAGTCCTTACACTCAATTTCGTAAATTCCAGAATTTTCCGAATTCTCAACTTTGTCTTTTGGACTTTCCAAAAGGCTCTGTAGTGTATGACTTGTTTTAAAAACCACTTTCATACCTAGTTCCTTGAAAATCTTTCTAAAGTCCTTAGTATATTGGTGGTATGGAACTGAGATGTATTTATCTTGGTTTTTGTCCTTTCTGAAAGTCGAGACTTCGTTCATTCTTAACCTAAACTTTTTTTCCTTATTATGTCATCTACGATACCCCTCGAGAAACCGTTAGTGGCTGCGATTTCCTGTATTGTATGTTTTTCTTTTTTGAACCTATCATGTGTTAGAGGGAAAGTCAAAAGACGATGCACTAAAAATTCAACCCAGCACGTTTGTGCTGTCCACAGTGATGTGAACTGTCAGGAATATAACTGTACGTGCTTGTTTCTTTTCTAAATATATCGTATTCTAACCCTCCATATTGGCTCCTCATTACCAAAACGTCAAGAAATGGTAGTTGTCCCTTATATTCTAACTCATAAGTGAATTTGATTGATGGGCATCTATTATTTAAAATGGAAACAAAGTCCTCAATATTCGATTTCTTGGTATCGAATATTGCGAAAATATCATCCACATACCTTAGCCAAATTCTAGAAAAATACTTCGACTTTTCTTTGGTTTCCATTTTGAATCTGCTCATGAACAGGTCTGCCAGGTAGGGGGACAAGGGGTTTCCCATGGCCGTTCCTTCCTGTTGTTCATAAAAGCAACCTTCCACATGGAACCGATTTTGTTTCATACATAAATTAGTAAAAGAAACGAATTCATCGATTTCGTAATTATTGAAATTCTGGATAAATCGGACTATTATGAAAGGGTCAATACTCTCATTACTAACGGACCGTATGCTAAATTGTCCAGGAACCCGTTACCAATGATGATTGCAGAAGTAAAAGACGTCCTAAAGAAATGCGACAACATATTTACCCCTCAAACAGCCACCAACGGTTTCTCGAGGAGTATTGTAGATGACATAATAAGGAAGAAGTTTAGGTTAAGAATGAACGAAATCTCGACGTTCAGACTATACGAAGAACTTTGGAAAGATTTTCAAGGAACTAGGTATGGAGGTGGTTTTTAAAACAAGTCACACATTACAGAGCCTTTTGGGAAGTCCAAAAGACAAAGTCGAGAATTCGGAAAAGTCTGGAAATAACGAAATTGAATGTGAGGACTGCGATGCAAAATATTATGGACAGACAAAAAATGACGGAATAATACCAAATAGCATACCATATAGCTTGTTAAAATAATATTATTGGATTTACTGATAACTTCATAAGGACACATTGTAAAAATAAATTTAGATAGGCAATATTGTGAAATTAATTTTTTATACAGCTAAAAATTGTTTTATATATAGCTATAACATTTAAACATTACATAAGGACATATTGTAAAATAATAGATAAGGCAAATTGTAAAATTAATGTAGGTGTGGTATAACTGTATGTGTGGTATACATGTATGGTTTACTTGTATGGTATACCTGTATAGCATAAATAGCGTTAGCTCAGGGAAGTTTCCTGTTTAATATTTCTCTTGAAGATGATCACTTGGTGATCGAAACACGTGTCGAGGTGTTAAAAACAACGGTTTGGTGTTGGGAAAAAACTCCAGTAATATTCGTTTCCGTGAGTCCAATTCAAACTGTAACGGCTCAATAAAAACTTTTGAATCTAATCGAAATAAGCACCATTTCAATCATTGCACTTTTATCAACGTAACACAGCTGCTGCTGTCGCAATTTTCGATACATTTCGTCTATTTCCTCACAATAGGACTCTGCTGTGATGGTTTGGTTTGGCCTCGTTGCAGAAAGTTATAGTTAATCACACCAGTCGCTGACCACCATACAGTAACCATGCATGGTCTTATTTGGTGGGTTTTCGCCTTTGGGAAGTGCCTGGGTGGGTTTTTGGTGTCCAATCACTGTCCCGAACGTCTCCTTTGTAGAGTATCCACTTTTCGTCACAAGTAACGATCCAATCCAAAAAAAGGATCGTTTTGTTTACGCAAAAGCACATAACAGCCATCAAAATTTGAGAATTTCTGTCGATCGTTCAAATCGTATTGCATCCACTTTTCAATTAGTTTCCAATTCCAATTTGTTTTGAACCATCAAAAACCGTACGGGAGCTGACGTTCTGTTCTTCCGCTATCTCACGGACCGTTTGTGATGGATCAGTCTCCACTAGTTTCCTCAAATCCTCATCCTTGATCACTGTAGGTTGACCACTCCGCTGGACATCTTCGAAGCTAAAATCTCCGGAACTAAATTTCGTAAATCATTGCCAAATTTCTGGTTGTTTTTTTGGTCTGTTTGGGCAGCGCTTTGTTTCAATTTGAATTCGTATAGTCCATTCGGTATTAACTGATAGTGAAAGAATTTCAAGAGGTGGCACTGCAATTCACCCACAAAGTCAATGAGATATTTCTACCCACTATGCCCCTTGAGGACGCCGTTGAGGAGTGATTAAAATTGTGACTTGCGACAAAGAACTTCAAAACAGGCGGCCGACGCTGTTAATCATATTGCGTTAAATATAGTATTAATAGGCGTCAAACTGAGGGTAACAACAATATTTATTCCTCCTCAAAAGATTTACATATGGGAAACCCATTAAGCCCCTTACTTGCAGAAATTTTCATGGGTAATCTAGAGAAGTCGATCTTTGAACATCCTTTGAACGTCATCCACATGTATTGCATATATGTGGATGACGTTTTGGTATGTTTTACAATTAGATACTTCTCATAGGGATATTATCAAAATTCATGAAAACATTAAATTCACTATTGAAATAGAAGCAGACAGCTCAATCAATTTCTTGGACTTAACAATTAGTAGAAGAAACAACAAACATAATTTGTCAATTTATCACAAACCGTCTTATACATTACGATTCTACCCATCCTCATCAACACAAAGTAGCAGCTTATATTAGAATGATTCACACATTAGTCAAGGTTCCTCGTTCAATAGATAATTTCAATAAAGAACTCAATATCATCAAGCAAATTGCGGTTAACAATCGGTTTAAAGCCGAATTTATAAACAAAATACTTGCCAAGAAAGTTTACGCAAAAGCGATTCAAGACGTTTTTCAATTAATAAGGTAGATAATGAAAATTATAGAGCTTTAACGTATTTTGGACAACCAACGGAAAAAGTGGCTTTATTTTTGAGGAAACGAGATATTAAAATTGCATATAGAACAAGTAATACGTTGGGAAAGTTAATTGAAAATAACAGAGACGGTTTTCAGTCAAGATTGTATTATTGTATGGAAGTCAATGGAGGACAATTTGAACATTTGATTTAAACACGCAGATTTGATTTTTTTGGTTGTAAGCATGATGATAAAACAATTCAATTTTTTCAAGAATGTGATTTTTTGACGATTGTTTAAGTTTGTAAAAAGGGCTTAATAAAAATGGGCTTGTACATTGTCAAAATAACCAAATTATTCAAGGTGTCTCACTCGAACTGCAAAATAGAATTTTGGCGGAAACGGTTCATCACATTTACGTTTTTCATACACCATTGTAAAGATGCTTCCAAGACCTTTCAAATAAAGTATCACTCAACCCCTCTCCCATATTCAAGTTTGAGGGGTTGAAGAGCCCCCTATTAGGGGGTTTCTCGTTCAAGCCTAAAATATACGTCAAAAGATGTCCCCCAAACAAAATCATTCGACGTGTTTTTTTTTCCCTCACTATGGGATAAGAAATATACGGGGTGGCTCGTCTGAGATGGAACACCCTGTATATTTCGGGTTTTTAATTAATTTATTAATTTCCATGGCTTCGGACAAACTCATTTTCTTCCATTTTTTACATGTGTTTATGATTTTGAGATTATCTTTACTTGTGTTTTGATCTGATTTTATACACAGTAAAAAGTATTTCTTCTGCTTTGAAATTTTTATCTCTATTGGAAAAACTATTACTTTATGCCAACATCGCCATGCTCCACCAGGAAATCACACTTTTTTCAACAACATCATTCGTTTGACTATATCATTGCGAAGATGAACTATTTTGAATCAAGAAAATATAATATCATCTCAAAATCCACAACCTATTTGAAGGGAAAAATAAAGTGTTTCAAATGAAGAGCAATATCAACTTGAACTGAACACATAGTGTTTGTTTGAATTTAATACTGTATTCCTTCAAATAACTCAATTCGTTTATAACAAGAGTTTGTGAATCTACATACAAAACTACACACATCGGAAAAGTCTAGGGATATTTTTAAAAATGGCAATAATTTTTTTTTAGATCGCTTTAGGGAAAAAAAAGTTGACGGGTGATTAATTATGATCGACTGAAAATAACAGGAATTTTGTATAGAATGAACAGGGTTTCCTTTAAAGAAGTATTTCATTCATTTCAGTTTGAAAAAACCTGTGGTGCTCTGGTCTTTCTATGACCCTCTTAAGTGAGAGGGGAGCGGGGAATCCCATTGCAAGCATCGCGTACGCGCCAGTATGTGTTGGAAAGTGATGTTGGTGTGTTGCGTTTTTAAGGAGGAAATGTTTTATGTGTCTGTAGGCAGTGCAATTTCTTTCCGATTATTTTGTATCTACCATAATGGAGCAGATTTTACAAGACTGGGGTGTTGCACAGTTGAAAGATATTTTCATGGGTAAGTATTATAAATGAATAAAACTCCGCTATATCAGTTAGTACCGCGTTGTATACGTAGTACCGAAGAGAAAGTGGTAAACTTTGCCGGCAACTCTTAATTTTGCCTTCATTTTGCGAAAATTATAACAATTCTCCGTAATTTTTCACACATGAATTATTACATTTGCCGAGCTCTGCAAGTGTATATTGATTTAAACTGAAAAATTCTCCACGTTGATTCAAATTTGCCAATCTCTTGTTTTGAAAATACATTTTATCTTGTTTCAAATAAGAGTATTTTCTCTAAATTACGTTTTGTTTTTTATCACATGCCTTTTCAGGATAATATTCATGATATGCAATTGCTTCAAATAAACCAATCACAATATATAATGTATTATTTAGTTTCTTTCCTTACCACTTATAGCTGTTCATATTACAGATGAGATACTTTGGATTCAAGTAACTAAATACATCCAAATAAGAGGAACAGTTTATAAACAAAAGCATACGTTTATTTTTGATGAAGTAAAGCATTTAAATGAAAAATGCTTCTTTTCAAAGGAAAACAATTAATTTCTGATACAGAGACATTTAAATAATGTTCCAAGTAAACATATCATTCTTTCAAAATCCAAAACAGTTTTGCTTCGAGATTCAGTTTGCTCAGACTAAAGAATTCATATTTACTTCTCTTGAGCTAATATGATGATTTTTATTGAAATGTATGCACAATGTTGGTGGAATATTTTTTTTTACTTAAAATAAGCGTTTATTCAGTCCATTTGAAATGATTCAAATTCAACTTGAGAGAATATGTTTCTCAGTTTAAAAAAAATATTTCTTCATGAATATAGGAGAGCAAGATTTCTTTAAATCGAGATAATTTTCTTCACTTTGAGATTTTCATTTTTACTGTGTATAATATCAGACAATAGAAGTCCGAACTAATGAAAAAGTGACTGTACAAAAGTTTGTACGGTGTGTGAGATTGTTTCTTTTAAAACGAATCACAAGCACTACAGGAAAATCCTCAAGGCTCTCTCAGAACGGTGCCTGTGCGAAAGTAGCGATTTACATTGGATTTGAATCGCTGGAGACTAAATCCATTTGGGAAAACGTCCTCAGGAAGTTTGATCCACATAAACGCAGTTCTCCAAATGAGGTTGGGGCCTTGTTCAGTAGTGTATGGAGATTCGCTGACCGAAGATTTTGTGTGTCCAACTTCGAAGCAACCTTCTTTGGCCGGGTTCGTCGGATAGTGTATGGGGGGCTTAAGAGCGAGAAAGATCTCAACTGACCGGTTACGTATTATCCGTCTGAGTGAGTCAGATAAAGTGCCGGTCAATAAAATGTTGAAATGTAAAAATGGCATAATGTACTTATGTGTAATGTGGCCGGTTTTCTCGATACAGCTGCTTTTGAGGGCAGTACACATTTTGCATACATATAGATTCGACAGGCATATCAGGCGATATTACGCAACGATATTCCTCGTGGTTTTGTTTCGTAATAACGTTGTTATAATGTGTCCATCATTCGCATTTTTCAAATTTATTAGTGCGGTAATATTCACTTACTTTGTTGCCTGATGATAAGTTAATTATTAGTAATTAAAAGGAGAGTTGCAACCCTAAAACAATGTAATGTTACTACAAAATTGTTCAACGAACTCATGATGTGTATGGAGTAATCAAGTAGCTTCTTGAAGAGAATGAAGGAGGAAAAAAATGTAAAATTCAGAAACATTGTACAGACCGGGTTGAGAGAATCCTAGAAAAAAACGACGTGAAACCAATATTCAGGCCAACAAAAACTATCACAGTCTAACGTCAGCTAAGCACCACAGAGAACCTTTAGCAACAATCGGGGTATACCGAATTTCTTGTAGCTGCGAGTCTGTCCACATTGGAACCACGAAAAGAAGTGTAGTTATAGTTCAAGTAAACGATATAGTGCATGCAACCTACCTTCTAACAGCTCCTCTATAGTAATACAATTAGGGAGCTTACCAATTTCGTTATTCAATAATCATTTCTGATTATATAATAATCACAATAACTACAGTGTGACCCATTTTTAATGGAAACACCCCTCCTAAAATTTTAAGTTGTAAATCGATTTTAATAATTTTTTTTTAGTGTCAAGTACTAAAAGGTTCACCTTGGGACAAAATTTGAAATGTTTATTAAAGTTTCAGGGCATACTACGATATTTTTTCATAGTCGAAAATCGGGATTTTTTATTAGCGATTTTTTTATTGAAAAAATCACTACGCCACTGTATTCAGAGTGCCTCTAAATAGGTGTGACCAAAATTGTATGAAAAAAAATTTGTTATTAACAAAGTTATGACAACTCAAAAATTTGAAAACTCACACAGCTAACAGTCAAAATATATCATTTTTTTATGATTTCAACAATAAAGTGCCGCCAGATGAAAAAAAAAACAAATAGCGTAAATATTTTTAATGAAAATAACGGAATTACATTCACACAATTCAACTAAGACTGAAGCAAAAACTTTTAATAAACGTAACTAATAACTAATTATTGAAAAGTTTCGATTCAGTGCAACAATTAATCCTAACCCATATTCTAGTAGACTCTACTAATCCACCACGTATTTCGATACATGTGTCGTAGCGCTTACGAATGTTTCTGATTACGTTCCTTAGTGCTTGAGGGCTAATATCTGCACATACCTGTCGAATTCTTGCACAAAGTTCATTTCTATCTCTTGAGCGGTTTTTGTAAACCTTTTGTGTGAGAAGTCCCCAGAGAAAAAAGTCCAAAACTGTGAGGTCTG